GGTTTTATCTATGTATTTTTTTTTTTTTTTTGTCAGTGAAAATGTCATGATGCCATTTCTAACCTTAGGTCTCTAGGCGGGACCCGGAACGGAATGTGTACACCCCAGAAATCAAAGGAAATAATAATAATAATGAACCAGTTGTAGTTCTACTGAACAAAGAGAAAAAAAAGTGATACCTGACAGAAGTCTCCTGTCCACCTGACACAAGAACTGAACACAAAGAAAATAGATCGATAACTACAATGATGACATTTTGGAAGTTTGGGAAGGACTAGCAAAGAAAGTAATTGCAGTACTAGTGGTCACTGGAGTACCGGCGTTTTGTGCAAAAAAAAACAAAAAAAAAAAAACAAGAAAGAACATGAGGAATATCTTGCAGCTAGTGAAATGTGATTTGGAAATAGAGCCGTTAGAAACAGGAAGGGTACTTCCATAAGTATCGGATACATACTATCAGCATATCAATAAAAAGAACAAAGGGTCGGTTTATTTTCTTAATGACCTGAAAATCAACTTCTTACTGGCAACCAGCATCATACCTTGTGCGGAAACGAAATAATAATAACTAAATACAATGGAAAAAAATTCGATATATAATTAAAATTCGTCTTTATTTTTTAATCACCTCATCCCAAGCAAGGCAATAAAGCCACTAGGACGCAAGGGGGGTACTGAGTGTTAGAGAATATGAGAAAAACTACTATTAAGGAGGGAGGGCAATAAAAGAACAATAATTAAAAAGACAGAAGATAACGATTGGCATTGAATTTTTGATGATCAAAATTGACTGGGAAGCAAGAAGCCGGAAGAGAGTTCCACATGCGAAAAGTGTGATAGAAAAAACTGTTAGCCTAGAAGTTAGGGTTACATCTAGCAGCCATTTCAATTGTAAAATAATGAGACCTTACTGCCAATCTAGTATTGCATTTAAATTCATAAAGTCTAGGTATTTGTAGTGTGCACGATATAAAATGTGTGCGTGTCCATGAAACAAAGAGAACAGCTTTTTAATATATTGTCTGTGAATGGCTAAAATGTGTAAGGCCTTTTTTAAAAAATGTGTAAGCTCTGTTTTTTTTTTTTTTTTTTTTTTGCATTTATCATCAGAGACCAAAACCAAAATATGATTACCGCCAGGACTTCTTTTAAGCGATTAAATATGGTGAAAGAATGAAATAAAGAAAGAATTGGATAGATAATTTCACCCCAAGCAAGGCGATAATGCCACTAAAACGCAATGGGGGGGGGTACTGGGAGAATAAAGAAGACTTAGTGAGGAGAAAGATCAATAAAAGAACAGGATTACGAAAGACGGAAGATTGCGATTGAAGTTGTATTTAATTATTTGAAGATTGTAGGTGGTAGGGAAGCAAGAAAGTGGGAAAAGTTCCACAGGTGAGAAATACGAGAAAAACAACCATTAGAATAGAAACCATGGTTACATCAAGCTAATTCAGCAGTAAAATATTGAGACCTAATTGCCAATCTAGTGGTACGCTTTAATTGATACGGTCGAGTTACCAAGGAGGAGAGCTCATTAAAACGACTACCATGAGCCATTACCTTGTGGAAAAGACTCCCGCGTGGATACTTCCCAGAAAACTACAATCTTAACTTCTTAAAGTCTAGGTTCTATCGTTATCTCTGCGCCATATCTTCGTAATCTTCACTTTCTACTTCCTCCTTTCATGTCTATAACATACACCTCATTCTGTAATTCTCTACCTTGAGTGGCTCTTGGCTAACTTTTAAAAATGAGACAGTTGCTTCTTTTGTATCTCAGATAGTGATGGGATTTTCCTAATGTGTGTATCAGTATTCTTTTTGTTCATTCCCAATGCTCCTGTTAATATTGGAACAATGGCTGTTTTTTTAAATCTGGCCTTCTTGTAATTTATACTGGTAAATTCTTATATTTTGAAAGTTTGTCAAATTCTTTTGGTCTTATTCTTTTACTGTTTTGTTTTTATTGTTACTAGCATAGTACCCATAAAAGATGAAGGGTTATTTAACTATGGGGCAGTACTTTTGCTTAGGATCAATGTTCTACTCCTTGGCTCTTTGCCTAAAACTGGTGTTGTTTCTGTGTACCCTAACAAAATTTTAACGTGTGTGTTCCTGCGTATGTATATGTGTGTACTGTAGAGTATTTCCTGCTCATCCCTACTACTGTTCTCTGTTACTATTTCTACTTAAAAATATGGCAAGTAGTCGCAATAGATTAAGATTTGAGGAGCAGTTTATTTACACAAGTTTACCCGTTCTATGTATAAGTATTTAATAAACCTCTTCTTCTCTGTTTCTTCTACTTAGTCTTCTGTTCCTTCGATACTCTCTCTAACAACAACTTTCCTTATTTTCGGCTATTTTGAACAAAGACAGCATTACAATAGTGTGTATGTGTGATCAGACATTACTTTTCCATTGCTGTCAAAGACTTTTTACATTCCTTCCAGGACGGCCATAACTGACAAATACCTTTATTTTATTTCTCCATTTCTACCTGGGTTTTTTTTTCTGGTGTTTTTGATATCCATTATGCATTACTCTACCAACCTTTTACTCCATCTATTATCCTTTCTTCTTTCTATATGCCCCGTTTAACCACTTCCATGACAGCTCTTATCTTGGTCAGTTCTCAAATCCATAATGTCCTCTTTCTGTCTCTTTTATTTTTATTCATTTATATTTTATTTACAGATCATAAAGCAATTCTATGCCTTCAATATTAAACAAAACATATTCAGCACTTTATAAACGAGTTGATATTTTACGAATAATTAATGCCTAAAGTATAACGTGCCATTGTCCTTAAAAAGCCCTAAGAGCAAGTATAAAATTTGAAATATGCTTGATAAGTAGATTAGCACAGAATAATTACACGCATTGATTGCATTTTGGAAGGCGAGTAATGGAATTTGAACCTGTAACAGGAACAGTTAACTCGGCCTGTCCATTAACAACAGAGACACGCACTATCAATTATTTATTTTCATTTGGAAAACTAAATTGCCCATGCTATATTGATTAAGTGAATGGAAACTAAGGTGAGTAGTCTTCCAAGTGGGGAAGGTTAAACTGTCTGCTTTGAAAATCAGCATTCAAAATTATGATTTTTACCTGGGCTTGAACATCAAACAAAATAGAATTATATAACTACCTCAGCTACCATGTATGCCTATTTCACAGTATATTGCTATGTATATACATGCGTGTGCGTACCAATGCACCTATTTGAAATGAAGAAATGTAAAAAAAAAGCTCGATGTATTTTATTTATAGAGAGCAATATAATTAATTATATTGTTAATCATATATATATATATATATATATATATATATATATATATATATATATATATATATTTTTCTACGTCCCCGTACATTTTTTTGCACTAGATGGTCGTTGAGCTTGCAAGAAGGTTCATTCGGCCTTTGATGGGACATGTTTCTCATCGTGCTTGCGATATAGTCACCCTCCTCATCCGGTGGGGGAACCGATTTAGTTATCAATGACTCGACCATGCAGCATGCAGTACTATAATTATAATTATATATATATATATATATATATATATATATATATATATATATATATATATGCTATATTTATGGGTTGAAGTGCTCAATATCAGGAATAGAGCGTATTTAACTATAAAAGTTGTCATTGAGGTCAGCAGTCTGTTTCATGCTTATATTCAATCGTCTGTGTATAAGCACGAAACAAACTCTTGCTGTTGGATGATTACTTCAATGTCCACTAATATATATATATATATATATATATATATATATATATATATATATATATATAGTTTTAAGTTGTGCTATATTTATGGGATAAAGTGCTCAATATCAGAGATAGAGCGTATGTAAATATAAATATGGAAATGAACATTAAAGTCAACACTCAGAGGCGACAGGCTGTTTCATGCTAGACGCAATATATAATTAAACCGCGCGGACATGGAAATAAACACAAGAGTGACAGTCAGTTTCACGCCTTAAGCAGTCATCAGCCAAGCCATCTTTAAGAAGCTAGTCTGATAAGGCTCAAACTGTCAGTCATCATGCAGTGCTTGTTGCTATGTTCATATTGCAAATATTTACAATCGCTTTATTTCTAATAAGGAGCATGTTTACCCGATAAATATAATCAAATAACCTACATTTCCTTCGTATTCCATTTGTAAAGAAGAAGTTCCAATCAGATTGCTTTTTTGTTTTAAAGAACTATTACTTTGTGGAAAAACACCTCCCGTGTTGATGCTCTCCTGAATACTACAATATTAACCTTTTCAAGTCAAGATTCAATCGCTATATATCCTCCTTGTCCTCATAATCCTCTCTTCATTTTACCTCATCTTTCGTTCATATCCCGCACCTAATTTAAGTAAAACTCTACCTTGTATAAAAAAAAAGTTCGTGCACCAACGATAGCAACTTCCAAGAAGCTTTCTGGGTGAATAGAAAGAACACCAATTAGATTTGCATGGAACTCATGTTGGTACTAAAGGTGTGTGATGATTTTGGTGGTTTTGAGCAACGACACTTATATCATGTCATCTCAGGATCAACATTACCGCTGTCATCCAGGTGATTAACGTGATGGTCAAGTCCTGAATCAAAGGTTGTGGCCGCACTGCTCCCTCGTATATGACTAATTTGACCCAGGAATGACTAGATGAGAATACCCACCAATATGTAGTTGATAGCTCCCCTGATATGAATCACAAGAACGACAATTTTTTGACATCGGCGAGAGAGAGAGAAAGAGAGAGAGAACAGCAAACGGCCATGTTGAAGAACGCCATCGTGGGTCCGATGGACAACTAAAGAAAGGACCTCTTGAAACGAATTCACATCTGGGTCGTTCTCGAACTTGAATGTGGTTTTATTAAATAACAGTTAATTTACATTTGTGCAAATTCAAATTTTGGGGGAAATCTACTTATTTTTTCTATTGCTTCTCTTTAGATTATAATTTATTTTTACTTTCATTTGTGCATGTGAGGGAGCGTTTGTGGGTGCGCATGCGCACGCATGAACGTCTGAAATTGTGTCTGAGCAATAAATAACAACAACGTCAATCCTGTTGAGGACAATTGGACATTGATGGATGAGAAATGGAATGAGGAATTATAGTTCTGGAAGTGACGATGCAGGAAAGTCGGTTGACGATGTCTTCGAAGGAAGGAAGGAAGGAAGGAAGGAAGGAAGGAAGAAGAGGAAGAGAAGTGGAAAATGGGAAGAAAATAAAAAGGAAATGAACGAAAAAAAAAGAGGAGAAAGAAGTTAACTTCAAGAAAAGAGTAAACTTTGGAACAGGAAATATATAAGAAAGAAAGAAAGAAAGAAGAAAGAAAGAAAGAAAGAAAGAAAGAAAGAAAGCATAAGGTAGAGAGAAAAGGAATTAAAGTTAAAAAAGGGAAGAATAATAGGATGAAATAAAGAAAATAAGTGAAGAAAGGAAATGAAGAAAGAAAGAGAGAGACAAGTATAGAATAAAAGAAGTGATGAAAACAGAAAGAAA